GTGTGGCCGGCTGGGCACCTTGCATCTACTGTCACATGCAATCACTATGGCGATGTCCAGAGGCCGGTGCTGCGCTCCCTGTTTCACAGTTGAGGAAATGAAGCTCACAGAGGCCAGTCACCAGCCCAAGGCCAACAAGTTGGCGTGTAGCTGGGTGGCGATCAGAGCCTGGGTTTGGCGGACAACATGCTTTCTTGTGTTACGTAAGCGTGGGAGCGCAAGCAAGGGGTCAATGCAGTGGGCTTTGTTAGCAAGCGGAATAGCTGAGGTCGCTGGCCACTTGGGTGGAGCAGCTGCCCTGGGGGAAGAGGGGTCTGTGTCCCTTTACTACTGGAGGAAGGGGCCACTTCAGGACAGCGTGGCCTGGCTAAGGAAGGGCCTCGAAACAGAAGGCCTGTGTGATCTCAGGCAAGTCACTGAACCTCTCTGGGCCTCTGTCTCAGCACAGGTGTAATTAAGTGACAGGGGTGTCATGAAGATGAAGAGATAAGTGCAGGTGAATTGCCTGACAGTGTCCTGCATACGAAAGGTACTGGATGTCACCAGGAATGCAGTTATTGGTCTGGTGACCTGGGACCCTTCATCTAAGGCAGGGATGATCACCCTGACCATGGCGCCTCACTGCAAGGATAAATGAGCTAGTGGATTTGCAGTGCCTTCTAGAATCCCTGGTGTGTGGGGAGCACACAGTACCATGACAGTGAACTGTGTGATCCTGGGTACTTTACGCTCAGTTCTTTGGCTGCCTTGTCTGTGGCATGGGGTAACAGTATGTGTCCCCTCGTCCCAGAGCCATGCAAGGATGAGTGACAACGGAATGCTGAGCTCTTGGCTGGAAGCCTGCTCAGGTAAGAAAGGAATGACAATGTGGTCACCGTCACCATCACCTCATGACCATCACCATCTTAGCCTGGAAGTCCCCAGGCAGGCCACAGTGGACTTGGGGCAGCTATTTCACTAGTCAGGTGCACCAAACCCAGTGCCCACCAGTAGCTCCTGGTAGAGGGGGCCCACGTACCATGCTGGCAAACAGCTCCCCGTCATCATCACAGGCCACCCCTCCAGGGCTGTAGAGCTGAAACCAGCCGTCTTTGCCAGCCCGCACACTCAGCAGGCACGAGTGGACCTGCCACACAGAGGAGAAATACGTCTGGTCAGCTTCACACAGACCCGGCGACAATGGTGATCCATAACCCACACATGCAAACGTTAAAGCCTCGGACAAGTCCCACAGTTAAGAAACCTGTTTAACTTCGTCTAGTCCAGTGATTCCCAGCCTCCCGATAAGTTCCATGGGAGACTTTTTGGGAAACACTGTGGCCGCCATACACTGAGGAGCTCCAGCCATTCTCCATCGGCACCCCAGGAAGGAGGGTCAGGCCCTGCTCAGTGAGCTGCCCTGTGGCTGTACCAAGGGGGACAGACACTCAGAGCCACTGCTGATTCACACCCTTTTTCCTGTGGCTTCTTCTGGGAGGGGCCATTCCTGTTTTCTCCTTTCTCCGTCCCATTCTCTGTTCCCACCTCCCCTGTCTGTGCCTCTGACTCCTTTCTCCTGCTCTCTGCCCCTCTCTCCTTCTCTCACTCTCAGGGTGCCTGCCTTCTTCCCTCCCTGAGTGTCCCATCTTCACTTGTGTGGGCACCGTCCTCCTTGCTAGGTACCTGCCCCACTAATCACTCTCTCTTTTCCTCTGGGACTCTGCCATCTCTCGTTAGGTCTCGTTCCCACCTCCTTCTCTGAGTCTTTGTCCCTCTCCATTGAAGGGTCTCTGTCTAGGGCGGGAGGCAACGTTAGTGCCAAAAGCACAGCTCTCAAATTCCTTCCCAGAGCTGTGTGTGTGCCTGTGAGTGGGTGGGCGTGTTTGTGCGTGTGTGCGTACACGTGCGTGTGCATGCACGCGTGTTTGGAAGGAATCCCACATCCACTCTGGCCCCCGCTGATTGCAGAAAGAGGGAGAGAGAAACACAAAGGCCTCTGTTTTTTATTCTCCTCCCGGCCTCAGAAGCAAGCCGAGAGAAGGGCCTGATCATTTCCTGCAGGAGTGAACGACAATTTGCTGCCAAGAGTCTCTTAACAGATATTAAACTGATCACAACCCACACACGAGAAAACAGAAACAAAGGCAGTGGGCCTTTATTTTCCCTGTGAGTTGGAAGAATATGTAGCACCCACTTATCTACCTCAAAGAAATAAGGACTTGAGTATAAAATGGTATCCAACAAATACAGCACAGAATTGAAAAGAGTGCAACTTTGGCTTCATTTAGGAGGGGGGAGAGAAAGAAGAGTGAGAAAGAAAAAAGGAGAGAGAGAGAAAAAGAAACAGCAGAGAAAATAAGATGAAGAGGCCGACAGGAAAAGGAGCACCTGGGGCGGGGAACTCGTGCCTGTGACCCTGGCTGGGGACTGCCCTTCCTGCAGCTGTCCCTTCCTTCTGCCTGTCCGCTCTGGGGAGCAGCTCGGGCCACTTTTATTCTCCCAACTTCAAAGTCTGTGTTTGAAATAAAGGCTCACTTTCCTGGAGAATTCTGAGAATCTGTCTTCACCCACAGTGAGGGACGCCTTAGGTTTAAGGAATATGGAGACAATCGTGGGTCCCCGGCCACTTGAAAGCTCTGATTGGATGTTTCCGCTCTTTCCCAGTGTGCCTTAGCATCACTTTTGGAATTGGCATTTAGAATAATGGTGTTTTAGAGCTAGATCCTTCCAGGTCCTTCTACAACTAGGTTTTACAGGGTGGCCTGGAGACAATCACATCAGAGACACTTGGAATGCTTGTTCAAAATGCAATTCTTGGCCCATCCCAGACCCAGTGAACTGGAACCATGAGGGGTGCAGTGGGGAGTCTGCCTTTTGAACAAGCTCCTCAGGTACAAGTTTGAGAGCTACTGCTCTAGAACTTCTGGATTTAGAGCTTGGCAAACCGTAGGTTATGAGTCACGGAGACCTGCAATGGTTAGACACGGCAAGGTTTTGGTGTCTGTGTGTTCCCAAATCCCTTCAAGCCCCACTCTCCACCCTCCTGCCCAGTATCAGCTTTCCAGACCCAGGTCAAGTTTCTCCCCCCAGCTTCAGTCCATTTAGCTAAGTCCAACCAATTCAGTGTCACCTCCTCCAGGAAGCCTCCCTGGATGCCTCCATTGAGAGGAACTCACTCCCTCCTCTGCCCACCCTTCTCCCCGCTCTGCTGGGAGCACATGTTCAGGTCTGTCCCCATCCCAGAATCCATGTCCACAGAGAGGTGGGCCGAGAGCTGGTTATTAGCACAGGCTCTGGAGCTAGGTTTCCTGGGCTCAAATCCTGCTTGGCCACGTACCAGTTGTGCAACACTGGGGATGGAACTTAACATCATTTTTGACATCTCTGAAAGAGGGTGATTCTGATGTAACATGGGGATGATAACAGAACCTACTCACAGGGCTGTCGGGAGGATTAAGAGAGAAAATGCAAGTGCCTGACAGACAGGGTCAGTGCTTAGGGAGGGACGTGTGGTGCTGCTGTTACTGGTGTACAGGTGCAGGGGGAGGAGGAAGGCTCCGGGTCGATGTCCTTGCTCATGCACACGGGCTCTGGGGTGAAAGTCGGCCCTCCCTGGAAGCCCAGCTTTCCTGAGGGCCAGAGTGGCTCCTGAGGGAGGCCCTTGGCCCCCATGCCCAGGAAATAAAAACCCAGCTCAGATTCCTTTTCAGCTCGCTGATTCACAGAACAGCAGGCCCAGACAAGATCAAAACGCTGTCTCGGAGCTGGTTGGGGGCCCCCACGCCAGCCCACACCTAAATCAAGGCCTCCACTGAGTGGAGAAACCGCCAGCCAGTGGAAAACTGCCTCTGGTCAGCCCGAGTTTACAGTAAAATGCTGACATCACGGGCTGGCTCCCATGCCAGGGCAGGGCTGTGTTTACGCACAAGGCAAGGAGCCTCCGTAAGCTGTGCTGGATGCCCCTGGTGGCAAGGAGGCCCCCAACAGAGCCCCAGTGAGCCCTCAGAGTCCTGCTGTCCCCCCGGCAGTGGGCCTGTGAGGCAGGAAGGCAGGCCTCACCTCTTGTCGTGGGTCTTCGGCGAACCTCTGGATCACATACTTCAGTTCCCTGGAAGAGACAGGCAGGGGCGGAATCACTCGCAGGCCCAGGGGAAGGTGCGTGGCTGGGGAGTGGGTGGGAGGAGCAGGGCCAGGGACCCGGGTAAGCTGATGGATCAGGGCATGCCTGGATGGGCTTGGACACGTGTCACGGGAGAGGAGAAGCTGGTGGTGTCTCCCAGAACATGTGACACAAAGAATGGGCCGGAAGGAGGGCTGACCTCAGAACAGAGGACATTTGCCCCAGGAGAAGGTAACCAGGGCGCTGTCCAAATACTCACTTGGTGAACTTCTCGTGTGCGAGAGCTCTGTAATAAAAACAAAGGAAAAAACGGCAGTGAGCGGGGCACTGAAACAGCACCACGTTCCAGAGACTTCCCTCTGGGGATGTTTAGACTCTACGGCTGATTCAAAGAATGAAGAGGAGTTGAGAATGAAATGGCGACACTTTGTCCCTACCCAAAGCTCCAAGACAAAGACTTCTTGGAGAGGCCATGTCACTTGACCGAGTGCCCCCGTGCCCCAGCCACCCTGGGGCCCACACCTGCAGCACACAGCTGACTGGGTGCATGAGCGCATGCAGAAGCACGTGGGCTCCTGGGACCCAGGTGTGCTCGTTAATTGTTCCACAATTGTCACTGGCGCACATCAGCGCGCCAGTCAGGGACCATTTGTCCCAGCGAGTTGCATCATGGGCACCATCAAGTGTGTCCCCAGCCTGTGGGGACAGTGCCTGCAGCCAATGATGCCAATGCTCTTCCGAGACCAAAGAGACCAACTCAGCTCTCAGGAGTCAGATTTCTCCTGTCTTGAGTCCTGGAAGCCCCAGGGGACCAGCCAGGCCAGCAAATGAGGCAATTACTGAGTGTAATGTCCCCCTTGGAGAGCCACATTTCATAAACATGGGCGAGTTAATCGGCTCCGGAGAGAGCTTCGGGCCGCCTTCTGAGGCCTGGCTTCTTCAAATCTATCAAAACAGAGACCTGGAGGCATTTTAGGGCCTGGTTATGTAGACAAAGCTTTTTCCTCAGGCCATTATCCACCAGTGTTCTCCCTTTTTGCCTGCGATAAATTCAACATCGGGATCAGGGCTGGTGGGAGAGAGTCACTGTGCAGCACAAGCTAATGACAGTGACAGCATGGTAAGACAGCTCCCAGTGGCCAGCGCACGGCCGGCAAGGCTTCTACACGCATGGTCTTCGGGCTGTGGCATCCCCGCAGAAAGGGCAGGGACAGACGTTACTGCTCCCAGCTGATGTGTGGTAAAAATGGCAAATTGACTGCACACAAGTCACTGCGGGAGGGCTGTTTGCATTCTTAGCTCGGCAAACCCCATAACAATGAGATGAGGTGGCTCCTATGATTTCCCTATTTTTCAGGGCTGGGGGGGGGTGGGGATGTTCCTCCACAGGGGTCCCCCAGCTAAGATTGTGGCCGAGCCAGGACCGACATCTCCATGGTCTTCCCACTGTGACTTGATGTGTCCCATGAAATGACTGGTCCCCTGCTAAGGCCTCACAGGTCAGAGGGTTGCAGAGACGCGCGCAGTACTTACTCTTTGGGGAATGGAATGGGTTGAAGCAAGCTGGCCAGAGAGGGTCTCCAGTCATCGTAGTCCGACCTAGAATGAGAGAGGGTGACAGTTAGGTTTGGTCGGGATGGGCTGGAAGATGGGACGAGAGGCTGGCAGAGTCACGTGGCTCCAGCTCTGCTCCTCCTGTTTCAATTCCTGGGAAGCCAACGACACGTGTTCTGGTGTTCACAGCGTGGCCACGAGGTCACTTCAACAGAACCTGTCCCGAGACTACCTTGTGGCACCAGCCCCAGGGGTCAGCTGTCCAGTTCCCCAGGGTGTCACATCCCCCTCGCCTGAGCCAATGTTACACTGTCATTGTTCATTATCTCCTCTGAACCATCGGGGGGTGTCATGGGCTGAATTGTGTCCCCCTTGCCCACCCTTCATATGCTGAAGTTCTAGTCCCCCATACTTCAGCCTGTGACTGTATTTGGAGATACAGTCTTCAAAGAGGTGATGAAGTTAAAACCATGCCATTGGGGGCCCTAATCCAATGGGACTGAGGGCCCTTTAAGAAGAGGAAATGTGGACACACAGAGGTACACCAGGCACCTGCACAGAGAGAAGAGACCACGTGTGGACACAGAGAAGGCGCCGCCTGCAAGCCAAGGAGCGAGGCCTCCGGAGAAACCAACCCTGCCCGTATCTTCATCTCAGAGTTCTGCCCTCCAGAACCGAACCAACACTGCTGTTGGTTACACATGAAGCCTGCGGTACGTTGTTGTGGCAGCCCCAACACACCAACACAGGGCCTGAAGTGGGACTGCAAAGCCGCCCTCGCCTTTGATTGATGAGAACTGAGTGGAGAATCTATAGACTGACTCACCCCAAATAAAAATTACCTGCTGTTTATCTGTAGTTTGGGTCAACCCTACTGATGTACTGGATACTTCTATTCCTGCTTCCAGACAACTGCTTTTCTTTTTTTTGGACAGTTGATGCTAATGACAGCAATAATGAGACGATGACGAACATAATGATGAACAGCAGCAGTGACGACCTCGTCGGTGCTTCCTACACGCACTGCATTATGCTGAGAGCTTGACCTAGGTTCGCGGGCCCCTCACAAGAGCACCGTGGAGTCAGTGTGATTAGCCCCGTTTGACAGGTGAGAAAATCTGGAGCCCAGAGAGGGTAAGCGACCTGCTCCAGCTAGCACAGCTCTGCTGATGAGCACGCAACTCCAGGCTTCACTTCTGCAGACGGTCTTAGCAAAATCGGATCCCCATGTGGGTAAGCAATGGAGACTAAACCTCAATTAGAGTGAGAGCAGAAAGAACCACGGCTGGACACTGTTTATTCTACTTCATGTACGCCCCCCATGACGGAGGGCTCATTTGGAGTCACCCACACAGCTGGGATGAGGCAAGGCGGGACCCAGAACCAGGTGTTTCAGGCTCTACCACACCACAGGGTCACCAGGCACGGAGCGTCATGCCACCCAACCCTGGACAGACAACTGTCTGACAGTGGAAACGGCACTCACGGTGATGACAGCGCCAGCTGCAATCACTGAGCACCCACTGTATGCCAGGGCCTGCACCACACTCTTCCCTGCACTAGCTCATGGGATCTGCCCACCACCCCACATGAGTCAAACTACAGCTGAGGAGCTGTTAAGCAACTCACCGAGGGTGACCACAGAGCAGTGCCACCGAGAGATCACGGGAGGGGAGGGCAACAGCTTCAGGAGGCTGCTGTGGGGCCCCACAGGGCTGCTTCCCACCCTGTCAATTCAGCTGCTTCAAGAAGCAAATGCTTCTGCCAACTCTTCTCCCAAGAGGCCAGGAGGGTCCAGGGAATGCATGGGGCAGGCCAGCCTCTTAGTCTGAGGACAGAGGGGCCTACACCATGTGGCAAAGCATTCACACACAGCCCCCATTCTACAGATGAGGAAAACTAAGGCTCAGAGGAGTGTCTCGTTTTTTACAAGTCACTGGCTCATGGGCAGGATTTGACCTCAGATGTTCCAAAGGCCGTGACTCTGATCTCTCCCTATTACTGACGGTTTAGAACCAATTCCCCCGCCTGAGTTTCTTGATTTCTCTGGCTTTGGTACTTGGCTGAAGAGCAAACCCAGAGGTAGTCAGTCCTCCCCAGCTGTCCTAAGCCAAGCCTGGCACGTCTGCGGTCCCGGAGTGAGGGGTGGCTGCTGGGGCGGTCCCCACCAAGCTGCAGAACTGTCCCTGGTGCTCCTGTGCTCACACACTTTGCCTTGTGGCAGCCCAGGGAGGGGCCAAGTCCCATCCCTGCATCCCCCACACGGGCACTGGACCTGGCAGATGCTTGGAACTCGGGACAGGACTGCTGAACCGAAGGCCGGCACACACTGGATGGGGCCAACCACAGCCCAGGTCTGTGGGTCACTGGGAGTGGAAGGGGATGTTGATGAGCTTGAGGGCACTCAGATCTGGGCTGGGCAGAGGGATGGCCCTGGGACCCCAAGCCTAATTCTTGGTCCTATGACCCCAAGACTCCTTTACATTTAAAATTTGGTGTTTCTCAACCTTCTTTTCACCACCACCTCCCACCCCTCCAGCCTAGGAGCTTTCTAAACACTTTTTCCTAATCGTCCTCCTACCCCTATACAATTTTATTATTGGATAATAGTGTTTTTCTCCCCCCAGCAGCTGGTGAGTCCACACAATTTTAATACCACCTGTATATTGTACATCTGTTTGTGTGCTGCATGTCTGTCTGTGCCTCATACAGAAGCAGTAAGATTTCTTTCATGCCCAAGGACAAGTGCTTGCTCCTGTTGACAACACACAATTTAGATAACCCCCGGGTGAGGGCTTTCCTGCCCCACCTTCCTCCAAATAAACTCATGATTAAGTAGCAGCCTTCAGAGGCCAGATCACATCCTGGAAGGTTCTGAGGAAAGACTCAGAGGCCTAATGCATGGAAAAGAATGGCCAGAAGAGCCTGGTGGTCTGAGATAAGTGTTAACAGTGATGCTAGCTGATATCTACTAAGTACTTACTATGCTGTGCCCTGGACATGGATTGGCTCACTTAATCCCCGAGACAATCATACGATGAGGGGGAGGATGCAGGTGAGGAAACCATCTGGATTAAGGCTGCTAGGAGGACAGGAGCAGCACTCAGCCAGGCCTGCTGGACCGCAGTGCCCAGGGCTCGCAGGCCCAGGCACTGTGCCTCCTGTGGGTCTCGGAGCCCACAGGCCTGTTGGACACACACCCCACACCCACATGCTCCGTTCTTGTAGGGTGGGGGTGGGGGTCATCTATCTTTGCAGCTAGCTTGTCTTCCCTCCAAAAAATCTCCCTCCTCCTGTCCCCCACCTGTCACTGACTCATAAGGTTCTAGAAAATCTAAGCATGGTAACAGCAAGCCCTGTACACAGCCTGACACATGCTACATGCTCTTCCCAGGACTTCTTATGTGCCAGCCCATGTCCTCCCAGCCACTTGGTCAGGTGGGTGCTCCTGCTACCCCCAATTCAGACAGGAAAACTGAGAGGCAGGTACAGTGAACCCCAGCCTCAGGCCACACGGCTTGTAAGGGCTGGGACTTGAGCCTGGCCCAGCGCCTGTGATCTGGCCACTCACGTCGCAGCATCTCATGGGGGGTGCAGCCCAGTGCACGCCTGCAGAGGGGACTGTCACCCTGTATCAAAGGGGACAGTTCTTAAGGTCTTTTTTCTTTCTCTCTCTCTCTCTCTCTTTAAAAAATAAGCTCTTGGGCCAGCCCAGTGGCGCACTCGCTTGAGTGTGGCGCTTGGGAGTGTGGCGGCGCTCCCGCCGAGGGTTCGGATCCCATATAGAGACCGGTCCGCTCACTGGCTGAGCGCAGTGCGGGCGCGACACCAAGGGTTGCGATCCCGTTGCCGGTCGTGGTACGGGCGCGACACCGAGGGTTGCGATCCCGTTACTGGTCACGAAAAAAGACAAAAAAAGGAAAAAAAAAAAAGCTCTAGTGGAAACGTCATTAAGTACAGAACTCTGAGATTTTAAATCAGAGTGAGACTCAGAAGACATGGAGCTGGGGCTCCACGGTTCCCTCCTGGACGGAAGGGGCTGTTGCCACATCTGTTCTGTGGATTGGGGACTGTGGCCTGCATGCCCCAAGTGCTGAAACCAGTGAGGCTGAGGCCTGTCTTGGGCAGGGGACTAGGCAGAAGCCCTCTTCCTCCCACGTCCCCCCAGCCTGGGCCTTGGCTTCCTGGCAGCTCCATCATGGTGGCTCCCATAGGACCAAGAGGGGTGTGGGGGCACAGAAAGAGGAAGAGGGCAAATGGACTTCCTTTCTCACCCCAGCACAGCCCAGCCTGGAAGTCTGCGGTTGGCTGCTGGCCCCACTCCAGTCTGCCAGCCAGAGGCTGGGGCTGGGGCAGGGAAGCCTGGCCAGGCCCCTGGGGAACGGGACAAGGGATCCTCCCGTGGGTAGGCCTCTCTCCGACCGGCCTGGGCACAGGGGCCAGCAAGTTCCTGGCCTGGGCATTTGGAGACAGCACCACACAGCGCTGCTTTGGCTCTGGGCAGGCTGGCTGTCCTAGGAGGGGCTGCATCTGGCCAGTGGGCTCCTCTCCCCTTTGGCCTGGGATGGGAGGAAAGCAGTAGGCAGGGCATGAGAGGCCTGAATCCCTCCCCAGGAAGGAGTAAAGAGAGCCAGCCCTTTCCTGGTTCAGCGAGGGAAGAAGAATGGCCTCCAACAGCCTCAGGTGTCAAGCACCAAACATCTAATCCTCACATTAATGAGGCCAGGCTGGCTTTAGAACCTCCATTTCACAGATGAGTAACAGGCCCAGAGAGGTTAAGACACCTGCCAAAGGTCACAGAGCTAACCAGGGGAGATCTGGACTTGAAGGAGCCTTTGTGAGCATGAAGCCCGGGTCTTCCACCTCATGCCACTCAGATGGGATTTTAACCCAACTCAGCAGGCGTTATCCAGAGCTCTGAGCTGTCCTGTGGACAAGATGCTTCCTTCCAGCCACAGCACTTCCTCTTGATTCACGGAAAGGACACTGCAGTCTTGATGCTCAGAAGGGCACGAGTGCAAGAAGACCTGTGTTTGAAACACATT